GGCCTACAGATATATGAAAAAATGCTCACCATCCTTAATCATCAGAGAAATGCAAATCAAAACTACTTTGAGATATCATCTAACTCCGGTAAGATTAGCCCACATCACAAAATCCCAAAACCAGAGATGTTGGCGTGGATGTGGAGAAGAGGGAACACTTATACACTGCTGGTGGGAATGCAAACTAATGCGTTCCTTTTGGAAAGATGTTTGGAGAACACTTAGGGATCTAAAATAGACCTGCCATTTGATCCTATAATTCCTCTACTAGGCATATATCCAGAAGACCAAAAATCACATTATAACAAAGATATATTTACTGGAATGTTTATTGCAGCCCAATTCATAATTGCTAAGTCATGGAAGAAGCCCAAGTGCCCATCGACCCATGAATGGATTAATAAATTGTGGTATATGTACACCATTGAAAATTATGCTGCTTTAATGAAAGAGTAAAGAAAGGTAAAGATGGAGACTTTACCTCTTTCATGTTTACATGGAGACTATTTACTGTTCTTTCGTAAGGAATGGTAAAGATGGAGACTTTATCTCTTTCATGTTTACATGGATGGAGCTGGAATATATTCTTCTTAGCAAAGTATCTCAAGAATGGAAGAAAAAGTATCCATTGTATTCAGCCCTACTATTGAACCAATTTATACCTTTCATATGAAAGCTATTACTCAATTATATCCCAAGAAGAAGGGGAAAGGGGAGAGGATGGGTGGATGGAGGGTAATTGGTGGGACCACACCTATGGTGCATCTTATAAGGATACATGTTAAATTTACTAAGTGTAGAATATAAATATCTTAACACAATAACTAAGAAAATGCGGTGAAGACTATGTTAACTAGTTTGATGAAAATATTTCAAAGTGTATATAAAATCAGCACATTGTACCCCATGATTGCATTAATGTACACAGCTATGATGTAATAAAAAAGTAAATAATAAAAAAAATTAAAATGATTCCTCAGATTCTGGCTTGGGTGCTTTTATGCATGTGGTACTGTGTTAGTCTGTTTTGACTGGTATAACAGAATACTATAGATTGGATAGCTTGCAAACAATAGAAACTTATTTCTCATAGTTCTGGAAGCTTCAAAGGCCAAGATCAGGACATCAAGCGATTGCATGTATGATGACAGTCTGCTTCCTGGTATATAAATGATTATGTTCTTGCTGTACCCTTTTGTGGCAGAAGAGGAGTGGAAGCTGTCTGGAGTCTCATTCATGAGGGCTTTGCCTTCGTGATGTAATCATACGTCAGACTCTCTACTTCCACATGCATTGGGGATTAGATTTCTACATAGGAATTTGAGGGAGACACAAACATTCAGTCTATAGCAGATGCCAACTCGTGGAAAACATAGGAGAACAAGTAAAAATAATGGAGAAAATAGATGTGAAATACTTATTAAGTTTAGTTTTAAAAAGTTTGAATATGAGGTACTAGGTGGAAAAAGAAGGTGATTTAAAATTAATTTAGTGGGAAATTTGCAAAAATTTCAAGTCAGTATACAGAATTTTCTAGCAATCAGTTGTTCATAGTTGATTGTTTAGGATGATAATGAGCTTCTTTATATCTTTGGCATATGATCATATGGTGAGAAATTACCTTGCTAGATTATGACAGGATTCAAGTGTTATCTGTACCATTGGGTTCTATGAAAACAGATTTGGTAATGTTGCATACTGACTCTATCTTCTTATTTTATTGAATAAAATTACTATACAGGGTCAACATAAAGTTCATGTGCAATTTAGTATGTTAAGCTATTTCAAATTGCACATGAACTTTGTCTACCCTGTATATTTCCATTTGTTTTAGTAAAATTAGACACAGTTTGTTTGTTTATTTATTTATAGACAAAGTCTCACTCAGTTGCCCTCGATAGGATGCCATAGCCTCATAGCTTATAGTATCCTGAAACTCCTGGGACTAAAGGTGCCTGCCATAGCGCCATCTAATTTTTTTCTCTTTCCTTTTCCTTTTTGGCAACAGAGTCTCACTCTCTTGCCGAGGCTAGCAACATCAGCCTAGCTCACAGCAACTTCCATCTCCTGGATTCAAGGGATCCATCTTCCTGCCTCAGCTTCCCAAGTAGCTGGGATTAAAGGCACTTGCCACAATAACCAGCTGGTCTCAGACTCCTGAGCTTAAGGGATCCTCCTGCCTCAGCCTCCCAGAGTACTCAGATTATAGGCTTGAGCCATTACAATAGAGATGGCATCTTGATCTTGCTCAGGCTGGTCTTGAGCTTCTGAACTCAAGTGATCTTCCTGCTTCAGCTGTCCAGAGTACTATGATTATGGGTGTGAGCCATCTTACCCCACCCACAATTGTTAATTTATGGTTTAATCAGTATAAGGTATGAGTCTTTTTTTACCAATGATAAATACATGTTTTTATCATTGAAGACTTATGTAGACTAAGTTTGAATAGCTACAGGTTTTGTAACTTTTTAAAGAAAATTGTTTACTGGAAAACGCATATAATATACTACCTGATAGTTAACATTAATTAAATACTAACATTACCAGCTAAGTTCAGTGGCTCATGTGTCATCCTAGCACTTCGGAAGGCCATGGTGGGTGGATCACCTGAGTTCAGGAGTTTCACATCAGCCTGAGCAAAGGAAGGCCCTGTCTCTACTAAAAATAGAAAAGCTAGCTGGGCATTGTGGTGAGGTGCCTCTAGTCCCAGCTACTCAAGAAACTGAGACAGGAGGCTCGCTTGGACCCAAGAGCTTGAGATTGCTGTGAACTATGATGCCATGGCATACTACCCAGGGCAACTGAGTGAGACTCTGTTTCAAAAAAAAGAAAAAAAAAATTTATTACCTGTGGGAGTTAATGGCACTATGAATGCAATAAAATAGATGATTTTCAAATTATCAGAAATTTTAACAGATTTTATATGGACACAGAATATAGAAAAATGTTCTGGAATGTTACTATAAAAAGGATGTTTGTATGCTAATATTATGCATATTTGTACATATTATTACATAATCATTGTAATAGTGATTTTTTTCAGCATATATATAAAATTTACTACTTTTTTCTACCTCCTCTCTCTTTTTAGGATGTGTTTAGCTTTCAAGTATCTCCTAATATGAATCCTATCAAAGTAAATGAATTGGCAATCCAAAAACGTTTGACTATTCATGGAAAGGAAGATGAAGCCAGCCCCCATGATTATGTGTTGCAAATCAGTGGAAGAGTTGAATATGTATTTGGTGATCAGCCCCTGATTCAGTTCCAGGTATGTGTATTAGCTATCAGTTTACTAGAAAACTTTATGGGTATCCATTTTAAATTTCTGTTTAAAAAAGAAAACATGCCTATAGTGGAACATTTGGAACTTACAGAAAATTACACAGAATTTAATAGTAAACATCTGTAATCATACTTACCTCTGAAATAATCGTTGTTAACATTTTAGCATGTTTTTGTCATTTTTCCTTACAGTTATACATATTTTTAGCATGATAATTGTATACATAGATGTGTGTATTGTATGTCTTTGCATTCTGCTTTTTTAAATTTCATGTTTCAGTTAGTGTTATATCGTAATTATTTTCCTGTAGCATTATGAATTCTTACAATTTTTTAGCACTGCCTACTATTTCATTTATATGAACATACAATTTAAATATGAAATTTTTTGTGGGAAGTAAAATATTAAAAAGGTTGACTAAATTGTCATTTTTTATATAAAAATGTATTTGTGTATAATGTGTATGTGTGTATGTGTGTATAAATATATTTGTCATAAGTTAGATACATTAAGTAGTATTTTAAATTTTCATTATAAACTAGAAAAACTTTTGTTTTCAATCTAATATTTATGTGTGGAATTTCTTTTACCCTTTTCTTGATATTTACATGTATGATAAGAATTCTGTAAGCATTAGGTCTGACTACTTTCAGAAGAATTTCTTAATCTTTGAGATACTTATTTATTTTCATTTAATTATGAATTTTTTAAGTATATGTCTTATGTATAGCACTAAATTTCTTTAGATTATTTTTGGAATAAAGTGGAGTTTAAATATATGTATAGTGCAACACCTCTTTCCCATAAAGTATTCTGTTTAAACAATAGATCCCTTTGCCTTCAAACAATGTTGAAGATATTTTTGTTGAAATAATATTTAGAGACTAAAAGGTGGTCATTATATAAAGAATACTAGAATAAGTTTCAAGCTATGGTCAACAGTAACAGGATTTTAGAGAAGTCCTTTGATTTTATGATGTTATTTTATTAATTTTAATTTAATTAATTAATTTATTTTTTGAGACAGAGTCTTAGTCTATTGCCCTGGATAGAGTACCATGGTGTGATAGCTCATAGCAACCTCAAATACTTTGGCTTAAATGATCCTCTTGCCCCATCCTCTGGAATAGCTAGGACTACAGGTGTCCACTGCAACGTTCCACTAGTTTTTTTGTTTTCATTTTGTTTGTTTGTTTGTTTTGGTAGACTGCCTTAGTATCACAGCTAACAGTAACCTGAATTCTTGGGCTTAAGCAATTCTCTTGCCTGAGTCTTCCTGTACCTGGGACTACAGGTGCTTGCTACAATGCCAGGCTATTTTTAGAAACAAGGTCTCCCTCTGGCTCAGGCTGGTCTTGAACTCCTGAGCTCAGACAATCCACCTGGCTAGGATTACAGGCATGAGCCACCGTACCCGGCCTGGTTTTTCTATTTTTAGAAGAGATGGGGTCTTGATCTTGCTTAGGCTAGTCTTGAACTTGTGAGCTCAGGTGATCTGCTTGCTTCAGCCTCATAGAGTTCTCAGATTACAGGCAGGAGCCACTGCACCCAGCCTGTTTTTTTT